ACCAAGATCTTTGTCTATTTATTAATTGTTGTGAATTTTCTGCACAAGGCAGCAAGAAGGAAAATTGTACTAATTTTAAATATGATATCTTTCTATAGGCATACTAATTGATTAACTAAATATAATATTACATCTGCTGCCTTTATTGTGTTTCAAAAGCTCTGGCTTTAAAATTTCATCAAGAAATGAGACCTGCTAACACCAACCATTATCACTAGTGTGAAACAGTTTCTATTGAATTGGTGTAAACATAAAATTCTGCATGCATATCTACTGTTATGTGGGATGAGTTCTAACATCTACACTGTAGGATATTGAGATATCCAGGGTAGTTCTGAGAAACAGTATACTCAGGGCTACAGTAAGAAACAAGAAAGGAGTTTTCGCTGCTGTTGTCATTCAAAACTCAATTGAACTGCAATGAAACATAAATCCTTTTAAAGCTGATCTTTCTGCCACCCAAATATGGTAAAAAAGAACTTTTAAAAAGGACTACCACAGTGACACATAATCATCAGCTATAGCTCTGCCTAAATGGCTGGAAATATAAGACAATGGAAGGTCAGGAAGAAATGTTAAGAGATATTTCAGATGTTGGGCTTTGTGATTTATTAAGCACCTTAAAATCAATATGACACTTCACAGGTGCCTGTGACAAGATTACAGGACATACAAGTAGAACATGAAAAAAAAATCAACTTCATCTGCCAGAAAAATGTGGACAACATTCATTGGAAGACATTACAAATGCTAATACACCATAGCTAACCAAGAGATGCAAACCATTTTAACTTCATTAAGATATGTGGCATCCAAAATTATATATAATAGAGGTCATTACATAGGATGAGACTGCACGGTAAGATCAAAAGGAAGTGTAAAATGGATTTGGCTGTCATTTACCCACTCAAGGAAACAATGGCACACTGTTGAGAAATCAATCCTACAGATAGAATCTAAATATTAAAAACACAGAAGACCTACAAAAGCTCTTTGAGCTGTGCAAAAACTTAAAGTGTATTAGATGAATGTTACTTACTGCAGATAAGAGAAAATGAGTCAAACCAGATCATGAGTGTACAAGCAAGTCCTGCTGTGAACCAAGTTACTGAAAATTCTAGTATCAAATACTGCCAAAAGAGACAATAACAGCTAAATGCTGTTACACATTTGAAAAAATGTACAAATCACTAAAATCAAAATTATTTTTTTTTTCACTTAAAGTAATGGGCTCTGCAATACGAGGTGTCCCACGGAAAAAAAAAAGCCCAGTTTCACCATGCGAGCATTGGTCTTTCAGCACAAATGCAAATACATTGACATTCCTACTCCCCATCAACCACCAGTGCTTCTTTTAATGATGCTTTCAGTTTCAGAATTACAATTTTCATGATAATATACAAATGAGAATACTGAGGTAGATATAAGACATGGCCGATCTCCTTGGGTCACAGCCAATAGAGCCACATCATAGAATCACACAGTAATTTTTGTCATTTAAGGTGGGAAGCATATGAGTAAAATCAATAGAATCAAAGAATAGTTTGAGTTGGAAGGGACCTTTAAAGGTTATCTTTGGTGGTCTGAAAACTAAACATGATTCCAATATAGGGCAGAAACTGGAATAGTTTATTGAATGCGAGAACACAATTTTAAGGGCCTCAGGGGCTGGACATGTTAATGAGGTGGACCAGCTACGTTAATTAAGGGATTGCACAAGGTTTTACTGCAGTTTCCAAATAGTTAATTTTTCTTCAAGCAGGATTACACGGTGGGGGGGAGGATTACAGGGGTGTAAACATGGTTCGATAACAAAATTTCAAAAAGTCCTTTGTTAATTGTGCTGGTGCCAGGGTAATCCATAAGGTTGTTCTTTAATAGGTCTTATGATAAGCGTCCAGTTTCTTCACATCACAAGATTCTTGTCAGCCCTTGTTTTCCAAGGTTTATCGTTCAAATTGACCAAGCTTTTCTTTGCTGAGAGCTGGTTTTTGGCCCCTTCAGTTATCTAGTCCAACTCCTATATTTAATTGTCTAGATTTCCTCTGCATTCCTTCTAGGAGTAATTCTAAAAAGTGTTTCACCTCACCATTAAGTAGAGGCCTGATAATTCATTCATTATCAGAATTGTAATCATACCTTTCTCTGCAATGACTGTAAGAGGAGTTGACAAGTTCAGATGCATACATCTGAAGCCAGGTGAAGTGAATCCTTTCTACACTGATGTCTACATTGATACCTACAATGTGTAGTGTTAAGATAACCAGCCAAGCTCTTGAAAGTTGTATTTTCAGCATTGCAGTAGAGTGTGGAAAACAGGATATAATCAAAATAGGAACAAAAAAAGCCTGAGTGCTGTCGGCTGCTACAGACACACAGTCAAGAGAAACAGCAGATCCCTGACAGTAGCTAGGAAGAGTGCCTAAAGGGCTAGAATTTCAATGAGGGGAGGGGAGAAAGAAGGATGTGCAAGTCCCCTTATTATCAAACATCCTCCTACCACTCCAGGTACAGCGGAAGCAGTGCATTAAGATAGTTCTGCCCAGACTAATATACTCTGCTTCCTATCATGAGTTGCAGAAGTTTTAACTTCTATAAAAGGGCTACTGTGGTACAGGGAGATTTAATTATTTCACACTGAGCATTCCCAGTAAGAAGCAACCCTGGATCAGTGTGGCAAATGTGTTTCAGCTAAAGCTATGAGTCATTCTGAGTGAACAAAAGTAGTCCATTTAAGTCTCACTGCTGCTGACTATATCTACTGAGTAGTAGTAGTAGTACAAAGCCTTTGTACAAGTAGTAGTACAAGCCTTTCTGTACAAATTTCTCTTACCGACTGCATTCAGATGAACCTGTTGTTATTATTTTGCATTTAATAGGATTTCTATAACCAGGTATAAAACACACATCTAAGCTCAGAGAAATGCTGTAAGCATTAGGTAATATTGTCTAAGATTTCAAGACGTGCCCTAGATTTTAAGACCTGCCACCTCATCGTTTAAGCTAAAGATTTTGAAGTGTTTTGTAAATATTAATTATTTAAGCCTCACAAGACCTTTGAGAGTATTAAAAACACAATTTCCATTGATGTCACACAGTTTTAGAGTTGTGATGAAAAGCAGCTCGGGGGTCCAGGCATTAGAAGACCCAGCTGAAAATGACTGCAAGTGCATTTGTGTAGAAAGCCAAAAAACACAGAAATTGACCCAGAAAGCAGCATAATTGTTTTCTATTAACATTCAAACAATGGCTTTATACATGTTTCTTCCCTGAAAACAAACAAGTCACATTTGTAGAGAAGGTCCTTTCATTGAAAGCTATTTTTCAGTTTAGAGGGAAAGCTGGAAATTGAACAAGGAAGTAACTAAGGAAAGGGGATCTATACCTCACCTTCTTTTTTTGCAGGGAAGAGGATCAGAGACACAAACATGGCAACTGGCATGGATTGAAAATAAGGATCTCAAAACCCCATCTTCTTGCGCCTCTCTCTACTTCCAGTTAACATGGGTGTAAATTTTAAAGTAGAGTATATGGTATAGATGGTGTGCATAACTAAATCAACCATCTGTGTGTGAGGAAAGGTGTACCCATGAGAGGAAAAGTTTATACATCAGCCACAAAGAACCTTTGCCTACTGAGCATGCTCCATACTTACACACTTGTGTTCTGTATTTATACCTGTTTTACTTATTTCTATTATAAGGGATAGAATAGGTTAAAACAAAGGTTTAATCTAGAAAAATCTAGGAAAAAATTATCAACTCCAAGTTTTGCTGTTGTCCTCACTGTTGATACAGTCCAAAGATCTATATTCTGCTCACAATCGAAAATAATAAATATGACTAGGATCTACCACACGAGAAGTCACAGGAAATACTTCACAGATAACAGAAAAGGTGAGAATATAGATGGCTTATAAATTACAAGCACGATTACCATCATGCAGCATTATTTTTCCATTACTTTAGTCCTAATGAGCTAATCAAGGAAGATATCACAGATTATCTACTTTCTCAGATAAGTTGTTAAATACAAAATGTAACAAGACTCTGCAGCTGAATCACAGAATAAAAGCTACTGAAGGTACATTTGCACATGTCATTTCTACATTCTCTTTAAACAAGACAACTGTCTTGTGCCTTTTGAGCTTTCATTCAGAAATACTTCAACAGCAACAAGTGACAGTTCTAGCCCTCAAAATTTAACTTAGTTTGTTTGGTTAGGAGTCCTCATCAGTTACAGTATTCATTGCTATTCTTCAGGAATCTTAAGAAAATAGTAGTTTTATTTCACAAGGAAACTGCAGACTTTCACGAGATGTTATTAACTCTTCCATTCACTTAACTGAAACCTTCTTGGAACCAGCAGCCATACAGTGAAAAATCTATGCCTGCAATAGAGTGTAATGACAAATGATAGCGATCATATTGTTGTTCAACATCAACAACAAATAATTAAACAGTGAATGAATTTGACAGAAGACCTTTAAGACGTTGCCAAACTCTATATGGATAAACTGAATGTTTACAACATGTCTAATGATTTCATCAGTCTTAATCGTACCTGTGACTGGATGAAAGGCTCATATGTTCTAAAAGTAATGAAGAATGTGTCAAATGATTGAATAGAAGCAATTAACTTCTGCCCAAATATTTATTCTTTTGCAAATAATCAGAAACTGGGGAAAAGGATGGTAGTTGCAAGAGAGTCTATTGTTTTCACTGAACAAATGTCCTTACACAGCAACTGTGAGTAGTAAACACTTTGAATATACTTATATTAAAAGTTTCATTCCCTCTACTGTAGGAATATTTTAAAAATACTTTGCATTTTAAATATAAAAAAGAATTGCTCAGTATTATTAAGGTTACATAACACATGCTGTTATTACTGGCATATAAACAATATATTCAGTGTTCAAGGCCAGGTTGGATTTGTCCTTGAACAAATTGGTCTAGTGGAAGGTGTAGTGCCCATGACAGGAGGTTGGACTAAATTACCTTTGAAGGTCCTTTCTGATCCAAAGCATTATATGATTCTGTGATCCTATTGGTTGTATTCTTGATTCATCTACATGATATAGGATTATTCCCTGTAGATTAAAAGGAAGCAACACAAAGCTGAATAAAGTAGTTGTTGAATCGAAAATATAATTTAACAAAAAAGTATGTGTCTTCAAAAACAGAGCGAGCAAATCAATATTTTTGCATTCTTATTTGTGAAGACAAAGTAAACAGGAACAAAAAAAATATGTAAATGGTGGAATATTTTTACTAGCTATAGCAGTAAACCCAACAAGGAACATACATGCACACATGAGGGTGAAAATATCTACAAACATCCTATACAGTGGTAGTATGATTATAAAAGGTTTGTATCAGGTTGAATTACTGAGTTTCAGTGGCTATATATTATTCACATTCACTAAATTTAATGTTAACACTTAAGACAGGACATCTGAACAGAAGAAAAATATTAAGCATTGATTCACTGTGTACGCTAAAGTACAAACTGAAATTCATTACAGAGTAGAGAACCAACTGCAAGTTGTCCATGGAAGAAAAAATGCTGCAGAAATGGAGTGTCTATTAGCAGACAACTCAAAAACTGAATGTCTCTGGTTCAAAACCCAGTTAAGAAATCCAGACTGGAGAGCAAGATGAACAGGGAGGACTTCGGACTTCATGAAAACACCAAGTCTTTATGAAACTACTCTGAGAAATATTCTGAACTATTCTTTACACTTGTGAGGGAAACAGTCCCAACGTAATGAGAAGATCATTCTCTTTACTGGATGGCTTATGACTTCAAGGATCAGAAAAAGGTCAGAGGCAGGTTTTGTTTTAATGTTTAATGTCTAAAGAAAGATAGACATTTTTTTGACATGTCTTTTTGAAAGTCTTTAACATATTAAATTTTCCATTTTGCTAAATGGATCCTATAAATAGATCCTATAATAGATTATAGGTTGGACTTTATGATCTCAGAGGTCTTTTCCAAATTAATTGATTCTATGATTCTGTGATCCTATGATCCTGAATAGATTTCGAATAGAAAAAAATGGCGTAATGCAGTGGCCTTCTAAGTTTTAGTCAGACAAGAATATTTGAAATTTTCCTCATGCCTGGTGAAACACAACTGCAGTTCTGTATCCAGTACAGGGTTTCTCAGTTCAAATGAAACAGCAAAATACTGAGGCAAATCCAGCAAAGGGACATGATGATGATTAAGAGACTGGAGAATCTGACATGTAGGAGGAGGCTGAGAGAGATGGGGTTGATCAAACTCAAGCAGAAGAGGTTCATGAGAATTTGAGCAATTTTTATATTTATACATGAAGTAGGTATATTGATTTTATATGGCAAGGTTTGACAGCAAGATGGCTATAGGGGTGGTTTCTGTGAGATGCCAGACATTGTCCCACACTGAACAGAGCCAGTTCCTAGTGGCTCCAAGGCAGATCTCCTGCTGGCCAAAGCTGAGCCCACCAGTAATGCTGGTAGTATCTCTGTGGTAACACATTAAAGAAAAAGTAAAAAAATGCATTCTTTGTAGAGAAGTGAGGTTATGTGAGAGAAACAACTCTACAGACATCAAGATCAGTGGAGAAGGAGGTGCTCCAGGTGCCAGGCAGAGATTCTCCTGCAGTGTGTGGAGAAGACCATGGTGAGGTAGGATGTCCCTCTGCAGCCCATGAAAGTCCAAGGGTGAATAAATATCCACCTGAAGCCCATGGAGGACCCCACACCAAGCCAGTGGATATACCCTGAAGAAAGCTATGACCTCTTGAAAAGTCCATGCTGGAGCAGACTTCTGGCAGGAACTGCTGCCTGTGGAGAGAAACCCATTCCAGAGGGGGTTTTCTGACAGGATCTGAGACTCCGTGGGAGACCTGTGCTGGAGCAGTCATGTCCCAAAGAAAAAAAGCATGCCATGGAAAGGATACACACTGGAACAGTTTGTGAAGAACTGCAGCCTGTGAGAAGGACTCAGTGTTGAAGAAATTCATGTGTAAGGGATCACACATTGAAACAAGGGCAGACAGTGAGAATAAGAAAGTGGTAGAGACAAAGTGTTGTGGACTTACAGCAACAGCTATTTCCCAGCTCCCTGCACTGCTTGGAGAAGATAGAGATGTCGAGAGTGAAGATGAGTCCAGGAAGAAGGGAGGGATGCTGGGAAGCTGTTTTTAGATTTGTTATTATTTCTCGTTATCTTGCTCTGATTTGATTGGTAATAAATTAAATTCATTTCCAAGTCTCTTTTGCCTGTGGTGGTAATTGCTGAATGTTCTCCTTGTCCTTAACTTGATGGATGAGTTTTTTTATCTTATTTTATCCTCCTGTACCATTGAGGAGGGAGACTGATGGAGTGCCTTGGTGGGCATCTGACAGCCAGACAAGGTCAACCCACTGCAGCAGTAAGCAAAGGAGATGAAGCCAGACTCAGTGGTAAGTGAAAGAACAAGAGCTAATGGGAACAAACCGAAATAAAGCAAATTCTTTTAAAACATTAGAAAAAGTCTATTTATTATGAGGGTGGTTGAACACTGAAACAGGTTGCAAAGAAAGGTTATGGAGTCTCCATCCTTAGAGGCATTCAAAACCTAACTTGACATGACCTGAAGCAACCTGCTTTAGTTAACCCTGGTTTTGTAGAAGGAGATTGAATTACATTGTCTCTAGAGGTTCCTTCCAGTCTCAACTATTCTGTGATTCTGGGAAATGTTAAGCTTTCTGAGATCGAGTTTAAGTAGGACTTGTGTTACATAGGAATCCCCTTGGTTCCCTGCAGAAAGGTAAATTTCACTCCTTTGTGTTCAGCTATACACATGAGCCTGAAGTTTGAGAACTTAATTTTAAGATCTTTAAACAGAACTTAGGGGTAGAAAAGTTAGGGAAAAAAAAGTGACATATTTTCTATAACTGAGAATGGTGAATTGTAAATATTTATACAGCAACATAATCATGTATATTTACTTCACTGCAGTGTAAAAAACACAGTTAAAATCTTGCAGAAAAGTGTCTAATGCTGTTAATATTCAGCAGTTATTATTAAGTTCAAGATCATGTGTTGGTCTGATTAATTTATTTTTAAAAAGGAATATTTTCTTAGGCCAGAGAACATTATTTGAAAGAATAAAACATTTCTACAGGCAAATATGGTGATAATTAAGCTCTGGCTTGTGTATGCAAAGCCAGGAAATACTAATGCCTTAAAATAACTGAAGCATATAGTAAAGACCAACATGAAGAGCAAACTGTAAAATAAGAAGACTGTAGAATAAATGCCCACAACCAGCAGATCTCTCTAGAGTACTCTTAAATGTCTGATCACAATGAATTATGAATATTTCCTGGTTTTGTTCTTTTCCCTGTAGAAGACTGATCACTAACCTGCCCAGAATATGCTGGATGCACTTGCCCAAGGACAATCTAATCACAGAAAATACAGAAGCAGTATGTGTTAAATCCCAACCTTAATCAAGGCTAAAGGTGAAAGGCCACAATTTCTACCACATTTGAAAAATTTAAAGCACTTATCAGCCCTCTACAGGAGAGGACCCTGATGGCTCTGCATTTTAAAGAGAATAGTCATGTGTTTTCAGCTCCTCTGATTTAGGCTGTGATCATTTTAAAATGTGAAAGTAAAAGGCTACAAGCAAACACAAGAGTGCATATTAGAAGGAAATCACATTAAGCAAACTGCTCGAGATGTACTCTGGGGTAAAGACTTGTAGCCCATATTGATTTAACGCACAAAATAGCATAGCAAATACAGGCATTGCAGATCAAGCTGTGGTTCACTATGATGAGTTAGCTGTGTAAAGCAGATAGACAGACATCTAAGAAAATGAACACTAAACATATGCTGAGAAGGCTTTTACCACTAGTCATAATGCCCAAAAACTTCCCATGCGCATCCTGTGAAAGACTATCTGTTCCCCATTTCAAGAAGTAGTTGTAATGACTTTTGATTGCAAAACCATAAGAAAGTTGAAAGGACAGCTTTAAAACAGCCTTTTCCTCTTTGGATTCTTAGCTGGTATGGGACCACTATAATTTTTTGAGGCACCAGAAAAGTCATCTGAGGCCAAAAATTTCTTTCAGAATTTATCTAGTGGTGATTCTAGTGGAGGGGCAGCTGTCACATTCAGCAGCAGGAGGCTGCTACTTGCATATTCCAAAATTTTCACAACCACTCTGCTGTGGTCTGGGCTCCTTCTGCAGCATTTGAGAGGACAAGTGGATGGTAACTCCTGGTAGCGGCATATAAATGCTGTAGCAGAAGGCACATTCTCTCCCACATATGTGAATCTGCTTTAATATTGAGACAGTTAGTAAGCTTGTTGATTTGGGGAGGGGCGTTTTATATCAAAATTAGTACACTCAAACAGGGTTATGATGAGCAAAGTCATGTGTGAGTTGCATATATTCATTCCTTTATTAAAAATCCTAAACAACAACAACAACAAAAAACCCCATCACAACTACTTATAAATAAAAAGATATCTCCTGTCATTAATTTAAACTCTATGTGCTATCATCAGTTTGTTTGGCAGCAGGGACATGCTGTAATTGGAACAGAGATCATAAGGTAGAATAGAAAATATTTTTCCTTCAATGAACTCCTGAACATATAAATGCTGTCATGGCCCACTGTAGACTTAGATGTTACCATATGTGAAAGAGTGAGGAATGACTGAATGGGTTGCACACAGCCACTCCCAAAGTAGATTTGGATATGATGCATAGGCTAGAAAATTAAGCACTCTTCAGATATTCAAATAAAAAATTGTCTGCCTTCTTACATCTTACTGAAATACACATGGTGGCTAAATACAGGTCATTTTCCTAGAGGTATAGAATCAAATATACCTTGTCTTTTTTATCATTGCCATACTCTTGATAACATTATAACTTTTAGCTGCTAAAGTCATTCCAGTACATTGACTGAAGTCTTCTAAGATGTTGAAGTACTGTAAAAATAACATATGTAGTGTTAATTTATTAGCATTCTGGCTTTAGATGACAGAGAGTAAAGTAGGTGAAATTTCTTTTCCC